TGACGTCATGCTCAGATGAGTTCATCTGACTGAGGTAATCGCACTGTAAAAGCTGCAAGTTCATACCAGGCTACTTCAGTATTTTCCGTTTTTTCTTGCATGATGCATGCCTTAAACTATACGATTAAGGCGTCTTGTTAATTCTGATATAGTTTTGTGTTATTGTCTTAGTGTTTTGGCATTAATCGGTGATGTTTAAAGATCCATACACTACCGCAAGTTGCGTTATTTTGCCACGATACGACACGATGCATTGTCGGAAATGAGAGACAAGCTGGTCAAGCCGGCATCCAAATACGTGAACAATGCAACAAATATAAAATATTGACAATCGATACCACGCAACTAAACCGATAGCGGCAGTCACTTGACAACGACCATCAAAACAGTACTAGCGGTGTCGAACGTGCCTACCGCTAGTGTTTTGCTGCAGCCTCCATTCCGCCTCGCATCGACCAGCCGGGGGTCTCCGAAGCAGCGGCTAGGAGTCGCGCACACCAACTCGCTGTCTTTGCTCTCAAAGCCGTACCCGTCCCAGAACGTCTGAAGCCACATAACATCGGCCCTGCGTCGATTATCGAAACCTGGCCTCGACGATCGACGCTAAACAACATGATAATGATGCCCAACAACATCTTCTGCCGAGGCAGAGCGAAGAAGCGTTGAACAGCAGTTCTGTAGTTTCCTATTCAATTGAATGGAAATCCCACTCTATTGCGTTGAGAGGAAAGTGGGGTAAATTAGGAAATAAAAAAAATTCTTGTGTATTTAAGCCTAGGGTTTCCTCGCCCAGCCCCTGGCCTATTTTGCGACACTACACCCTTGCGGTGGAGGCTAAACGACCATGACGCGCGACCGATTCGCCACCAGATTACTCCAGTGTCAGGCCTGTGATTCAAGACCCACTTCCCAAACAGGGACAAGACCGAGGCCCGCGATTTACATCAGCCAGGCCCCCTGAAACAATAAAAGGGCACCTGCGTCGATCTGGGTATCACAGTGTACAACAAGGGTCCTATATGGCAAGGAGCCCAGAATCGAACACAGTCCTGCAGTGTTTAAGGTGGTCGCAAAGGGGCCCAAAGGGCCCTCAGGATCGACGATGAAGGGCCCGTTTGGAAGGTGCGAAGGGTTGGCTGTAGATTACATGAAGGACCTCAGCCTGCAGGGCAGGGCCCTCAAATTTCCGTCAGTGGGCCTCTTGCACCGATTGGGGACACACTTGGACAATACGGGCCTGCATTAGCCGGGGACCTCTGACAATGGCAGTGGATATGGTCATTTACCGGTGAGAGTCAGACATAAAGCAATGAAGACCGTATGTCAGTCAGGGGTTCCATTACAGATCGGGGAGTTCTCCATCCTATTTCAGCGAGTGGTCTGTTATGCTAAATTGGAGTCTCTGTGCCAATTATTGGACACCTGCATCGATAAATAATCTGTTTTGCGTCAATGAGGACCCCTGCGTCAATCTGGGTCCAAATTTCCGAGTCAGGGGGCCCCGGCGTCAGGAAGGCGACCAATGTACACGCAGTCATGCTCCTGTGTCACCAGAAAGGCAGCCTGAAGGTATGCCAGGCTGAAGCGGAATGACCCTTGCGCCTCTGACCGGGAAACATGATGTGCCCCTTGTGTTCTACCCGGTGTTCTCCTTGCCAGAAGGAGGTAAGGGGTTTCTTAGTGTTAAATAGGGCGGACAAAAAAGGGGTAAAAAATTAAAAGAAGCCAACGCAAACGAAGATGTCCAAACAGAGGTGTCACTTTGCATGCTTTCTTAGGCTGGAGCTCCCGTGCTGGCTTTAAGGGACTGCTCCACATTTGAAGACACCAAGGCAAGCATCAGAGATGATGAAATCAGCTCACGTACACCTATAAGCATACTTCTAAGTTGAAAAGACTGCTCAGCACAACCCAGTCTCCTGATTAAATAAACTTACTTCGCGTTGTGTCATTGTTTGATTACGTCATGAAACTTTTGCATGTCGCTGAGGTGTCGCCAAACCAGCTGTGCGAGATAGCACCCTGGCCCTCACGTATAGTACTTCAACGTACCGAAAGATGGCAGTGGCGGTGCTGGAAGCGCTCGGAGAGCCAAATATCGTTATGCCCTCGTGTTTTCACCCTTTGTCGTGGTATGCTTGCCCATTTATCACCGAGTTCAAGGAGCTAACTAGCATTCATATACTCGGCTGTGACATTTTTCTATCACAAGTGTTATTTCCGTAATAAATAGCAGCCGTGTCCAACTTCTTATATCAAAACACGATAAGTTATTCCCATATCTTCAAAACGTGGTAAGTGATTCAAACTTCTACAGCTTTCCCCATATTGAATGAGGGCCAATTGACATCCACTAGAGTTGGAAATCATGCTCATGGATGCCAGATCTGAATGGCTCGACAAAAATCCTCTTGACCTTGAATTCCGCAGAGCCTATGGGGTGACAGGATTTGAATGACGTTGCTTTCGCGTCGTGCATGCCTGAATGACACTGTATTAGTGTGCACGAACTAGTCTGCACATCTTCGCGGGCGTGTGGCTCAGAAACTAGATGGCTTTAAGTCTTGAGAAGGGTAAGGCTGTGAACTGCACCGAATGATGTTCAAAATGACTCAATAGTTCAAAACCCCATAAAGTCTGGAACACTTACTTTAAAACCCGTTCGATGCTCTATTGAACCTCCGTCCCCGAGGCATATGAGCAAAAGACGGGAACGCTGGGCCAGTGGAATGCAGCTAGTGACTGAAACGGCTGCTACAGTTGGTCCTCAGCGTATCACTATCTATACCATCATCCACATCTTATCATGATCACGGTAGCATGGGCTTCAAATGGGAAGTTATTCTTCACCATCGGAACAAATTTGGGATCAACCAAATATTTGTTTCTTTTTAGTTCAAATTTGAAATCAGCGACAGCAACTCAGTGGTCAAAATCTGGAGAGAAATCATAATTTAAGGGTAGGTTAGGTCAACTTTGCTGACTCAGCCTCCTCCCCACCAACACATGTTAGAAAGCTACACCCCTGCGTTCATCCTAGCTCCAGAGCAACCTGTCAAACCAATTACATAACAAAATAATTGGGCCTGCACGCTTGCAATCCTAGAAGCAAGAACACTGATGACCGAGGTTGTAGTTCCCATCAAACCGAGCGGCCTTGGCGGGTCAACACCGGGCGGCGGACGCCTGACGCGCGAGAACAGCCGTCGTGGAACAATACCTCCAAAAATCTTTGAAAATGAATGAGTTCCATTCACAATTATACTGGGGCGTAAATTTCACGTGTAAAACCTCCGGAAAATTCTTTAACCGATATAAAGCGCAAACAACAAGAAAGAGAGATTTTATGCTTACTTGTTTAGTTCCAACACAAATTTCCACCACCGGCTCACAGTACTATGAATGCTAATCCGGTGTTATTAAAAATACATAAATCATGCAGGTAAAACATGCACCGGACTCCCTTCTAAAAATACGCACTAACGTTTTCATCCTGATACACAACAGTCTGCCTCTGATTCAGGAACGGTTTCAAAATCCAGCCAAGTTTTCCCATAACAGGGCATCCTGATCCGTAGCCACGGTCATCTGATGCATTTAACGACGGTGCCTCCTGACCCCGAATACGGGCCTCTAAACCCAAAACAGGGACCTCCTAGTTCGTAAGGAGGACCTCCCGAACCAGCACAGGAGCCTTCTTAGCGCAGCATTGGGCTTTCTTCTCCAGCTCATGGGAGCTTGTATTCATAAAGGTAGCCTAATTATCCATGAAACGGACCTCTTGATGTAGCAAATGACCCTCTGCGCCCGATTTATTGCTCCCTAGCTCAGTTCTAAGGGAGTGTCCCATATTTGCGTGGGTTTCAACCGATATAGCCATCTGGAAGATCATTCGGTGCGGTTCACAGCCCTGCCCTTCTTACGGCGCAAAACACTAGTTTTCTGCGCTACACTCCATCGAGGAATGTGCACACTATTTAGTAGCCCATTTCATGGTCAGTCAGTCATCCATAACGTTAAAATGACGTCAGTCGAATCCTGCCATTCCATTAAGCATACTGCGATTGACGCCGAAAAATAATTTACTTGTCGAGTCGTTCGTATCTGGCGTTCGAAGAACATGTTTACTAACCAGCATATAAAAAGGAATTGGATTGTCTAGAACATATCAAAGAAGGAATTACGTCGTCTAGAGCAGTATTTTCCGCTGAACAGCACACCAATAGTTCTACGTGGGCTCATTCCGTCATATCTGACACTGGCTTTGATATGTTCAGCTGTGGGCATTCCCCTTAAAGGCAGTCCTGGAACTCCACTCTGGTAATTCAGGGCTAGCTAAAACGCCTTTAGTTTAGAAAAAGCAGCTCCCAAAATTGTTGAGGGTGGCAAAAGCATACTAAAGCCCCCCCCAGCCGGAGGGTAGGGGAGGGGGCGCTTGTCTCCTCTGCACTCCCTGCTGCGCCACCCCCGCATCCGGGTACCGCACACAACTCAACAATCTGCAGATCTTTTCACTAAACTGCTAATGCTGGGCTTAGCATGTCACTGCCCATGGTAGTCAATGAGGTTTAAAACTGATGTGAGTTTCCTGATTACCAGACTGCGGAATCGAGTTCAACATTGTGGTGCTGGAAGAACGGCTCTCGATCGTTACGGCGGCGAGAGTTAAGTATCATCCCTCCCCTTTGACTGCGCCCGTGATGGCGCCACACCATGTGGCCGTTGCCATCGGGTGGTCAGTCGATCTCCGCGACTGCGGTCAGCCCTGTCGATATTTCACACGGGATCGGCATATGAACAGGAAAATACCCCCCAATCGAATTGCATATGACTGGTTTTCAAGCTCCCAAATGAAATGTGCGAGTCAACGACAATTCGTTTCCGGCCCACATGCGGTGGTGGAACAAGTCTGCGTTAAGGGCAGTTTCACGTAACTGAGCTCCTCCCAGCTGGCATCGCGCACAGCGTCCGCGCCGTGCTGCCCGCTGCCGTCCACTCACCTGGCACTTGCGCGTGAGAAACATTAGCCGCCGCGCCGGTGTGCCGCGCGCCGCCGTCGACCTCAGGTCGCCGTCGAGGTCATGACCCGCCGCTTCCGGCACGCACACATTGGCCGACAGCTTTCACATGGCACGCTGCCCGGTCGAGAGCAGCGCAGCTGTTTTTACCTCACGCCCGACCGGCCCACTGGCGGGCGGCGCGGGCGAAAATCAATAATGCACCGACGACGGGCTGCTCTCGCGCCCGCGCCGCTCTGTCCTCGCACTCTCTCCGCGGGGGGCCGCTCTCTCCGCCGGCTCGCCGCGGCGGGACACGGCCCGGGTCGATCACAGCGGAGAAAAAACGGTCCCCGGGACCGGGACGGGCCTGGGAGGGGGGAGGGGGGACGCAGAATCGGGCCGAAATCGGGACCGGACTAGGACTAGGGACAGGGCTGGGACCGATGTCTGGCTGAACTATGACTGGGCCGAGGCTTGAGGCTTGGGCTAAGGCCAGGGCTTAAGCGCGTCTCAAGTGTGTCATAAGATGGCTGCGCGACGTCCACATCGGCCATCTGCACGCTCCCGACGACCCAGTTGCCTAAGCGTCGCGTCATTTTAACGAATAGCAAAGTGTTGTCTCGAAAACTCCGTCATTGCGTCCGACAGGGAGAGAGCTGCCAGGTTGTGAGTCTGGACTTCGCGCCATGGGACAAGCTTATCAGGCAGCGGTTGCGCGGAGGCCATGAGCGCATCCCGTCGGTTATGTGACGAAAAAGATGTCACATTACCACGGTCCAGTCGGCCAGTAGTGTTCAGTCGGTCACAGCTGTGCATGCGATTCTTTCTTGATTAAGTTGTGTTCTTTTGTCTGCTGTGCTGTTGCGCTGAAGTTCAAGGTCAACTTAAACGCCACATCCTTCCAAATAATCCCAACTTCGCCGGCCCACCAGCATTGAGTGACACGCTACCGGGGCGGAATGAATAAAATCGAAATTGAATTCTGGACGGCTGTGTTGTGCTGGCCGGTGATACCCCCCTGCTAACAGTACCGAATGCACACAATCGCCCTCTTCGGGAACAATTATGAGAATGCTTTCCTGGCCACCATATTCTGGTCATCGCGTATTTCGGCCGCGGTCAAATATGCACCGCCAAGGGGCGATTTTAACACAAAAGGATCTTGCCCGCCGATAAGCAAGGCACATTGGCCGCCGATAGTGTTCTCACATAGCATTGTGTGAGTATGACCGCACCCTCCACGCCCAAGGGAAAGCAGTTAGGTCATGGTGTCTTCGCAAATCGCTGCTCCAGCCGGCACGCCAGCAGTCAAGGACTTCCTGTCCTGGTGACACTCTTCGCCGGCGAATACAAGTTTTTTCCGAACCGTCGACCAGTGTCATCATAGAGTCGCACATTTTAGGAGGGATTATAAGTGTAGTCCCCCGGACTGCCATACTCTGGCCATCACGCTACGGGCAGGATGGAAGCAGTTAATGCGCCGGCAGGTGGTAGTGTAAACGAGAAAGGTCGTGTTGGCCGCTGAGCAACTGCATTGGCCGTTGATCGTGTTTCCATAATGACATGTGTGCATGGATGCGCCCTCCGCGCAAGAGTCAAAGTATTTTAAATTAGGCATGGTGTCTGCACATCGCTGCTGCGGCCGGCCAGCCAGTATCAAGGGCTATTCTGTCAGGAAATCGACCGAACGAAATAGATTAACTTGTCTGAGACGTGTGTCATAGAAGAAGATTATAGAACTATACCAGTGCACACGGCCGCATTCCACACGCGCGCTTATAAGTATTTTTTCCGGGACACCGTATTCTGGCCATCACACGACGAACAAGCCGGCCACAGTTAACAATGCGTCGTCAAGAGATTATGTTATCCCAAAAGGTCATGTCTCAAAGAGTCTCGGCAGATGGGAGATATACATTGCTGGCCGATAGTTCTCACCCAGTGATTTCGCGTATGCGTAGTTGTACCGTCTGCACACAATTTGAATTTCATTGAATATTTGGCATTTAAGATCACCGTATTTGTTTGGTTAAATTATATTTGGTTAAAATTAACTCCTTTTATTTGATTTGATTCCATTGGCTGAATTTAGTTCTTTAGTTTGGTTAAATTCAATTTGGTTATTGAATTATTATATTGCATTGGGTGTCTAAAATTTGGCATCCTTATTACACACCTTAGCACCTTAGCAACTCAGAGTTGTGGCCTGCCTGCTAGCATTGAGTAATATGCTGTCGGGGGTGGAGCGGGGGAGTCGACCAAAATAAAATAGCTTTCTTAATGGAAGGCATGTGCAGTACTGAAAAAACGGCTACCCTACACCATTACGATGAAATGCCGCTATCACACACCTCGGGAGTGGGGTTCTGATTCGGTCGACCCTCCGACAGCGTATCATTCAATGCTAGCAGCTCAGCCGCAGCGGCGACTTGCAAAGATGCAGCGTCCACTTGTTAATACAGTTACTAGTGCGCGGAGCGACGACCGTGTGTGTCGCGCACAGTGACCGTGACAAGACATCTAACCGTGACATTCAGGCACGGACAAGCTTTGAGGCTTCAAACGTCCTTAAAAACATTTTTGCAGCTGCTTGCTCTGAAATGGCATCGCTTCGGGGAAAGGCGGTGGCTAAAAACATCATCACCCATTTACGTGTGTTTAAAGAGATGTTCCGCATTTGAAGATATTGAAGCAAGCATCAAATCTGGTCTAATAAGCTCAATTGTAACTATTGGTATGTTTTTAAGTGCAAACACCTGCTCTAGATTACACAACTTTTCATTCTAGTGTCCACGCTCCTCAATAAGTCATTGCTTAATTGCGTCATAGACCGCTTGCATGACGCAGAGGCACTACCAAACTAACCGCGCAACATTGCCACTTACCTGTAGTACTCTAAACTCGTTAAGAAATGGCAGCACGAGCTAGAAGTGTTCACTGAACTAAATGCCGTTATTTGCTCGCGTCTTGGCCCTTTCTTGTGGTGTTTTGCATATGCATCCATGAGCTTAAGATGTTGTCTTCCAGTCACATATCCGATCACGGCGTTGTTGACAAGTTACTCGATTGCAAGTCTGTGTTTCATAGAACCTAGCAAGCGACGAACGCATGCCCAACGTCTCACGTTATGGAACACAAAACGTATTTCCTGACTGAAGCTCGCACTTGCTGTTCAACATTGTTTGAGAACCAATTCAGTCCTTGATGCCCACTTTGTTTGGAAATCGCACTCACGGACGCCAGATCTGAACAGCTGGAAGATAACATTCTTCCCGGCTTTAAACGCCGCCTGGCCTGTAGGGTGGCAGGATTTAAATAACGTTGCCATGACATCATGAATGTATGAATGGCGCAAGTTGTTCAGCGCATCTGCGAGGAACATTATTCGCATGGATAAGATAGAAGTAATAGCCTTAGTCCTCGGAGAAAACCAGGAGAATGGAGATATAGATGGGTTCATATTTCAATAAAGGCAGGTCGCCTAAATATCAATCCATCTATATCTCCATTCTCCTGGTTTTTCTCCGAGGAAAAAAGGTTATCACTGCGGTCTTATCTCTCTCTGAACAGCCTTGAAATGACGTGCACGAAAAAGTCTACACAGCTCCGCGGGTGTGTAGCTCAGAAACTGAAGTCTTTTAGGTCTTAAGAAGAACAGGGCTGTGAGCTGCACGGAACGATTTTCCAAATGGCTATTTCAGCTAAAAGTAACATGCACATGTGGAACACTTTCTTCGAAGGTGACATGGGCGAAATGGCCCACTGGTGCAGCCAGCGGGATCCCTTCGGCGACAAGATGAGCGCGAGTTGCCAAATTGGAACTTTGCCTGATGTCCGCGACTGAGGTGTGGACATACACATTTTTATGGCAGATGTGCGTCGGACACCCCGTGACGCACATGCGCACGTTTGGGGTCGCCTTGACCATGGAGTTATAGACCAAAGAGTGTATGTGTCATCCGGCTATAACTTTAGATACATTCGCATAGCACACGCGTGTCGTGGGGGCATTAACAGTGTCACAATGCCATATAAAGTTAAATCTCTATGCTGACAGGCTTTGTTGGTCGGTTGATTTGGGTAAACCGACATCACGTAGTATCTTGCCTAAAATAGATGTGTAACGGCGTTGTTTTGCTTAGGTTTCCCCAATTTGATCAGGCCAAGAGAACGGGCTATCAATTTTGCGTCACCATGTAGGTTAGCTGTGGCCACACTATCATGGTTTTCGATTTAACCTCACATCTTATCCTGGCTGCCAGATGTGTTCTAAAATGCAGTGTCCACGTAACGCACATACTATTCCTGGAAGTCAATGAAATAGTGGAATGGCACCCTGAATATAACGAAAGAGTCTTACGTCAGATTTTGGAATGAAATTATTGCTTCATCGCAGTTTCCGTTTGGAGACACAGGCTTCACTGATTTTACGCAGTGTCGAGTAAAAAGCTTCCTATCTATAAAATCCTCTGTAGCCGGTACCCTGTTGTTAATATGCACCCACTCAGGTCAGGTTTCTGAATCCGTCCGTTGGTATCCAAGCTGTGAACGGGGTAGATAATTCCAAGGCGCGTCCGTTCGTAGTGGTGGGTCACTGTTTGTATGGCCTGGTGCTGTATCCGATGCACGCAGCCCGGTGGCGGCGGTAATGACAAGAGTCACGGAGGCGACAACTGCCATTTCTTGCCCGACTCCATGAAAAAGACCTCCGGCCCAACCTACAGCAACATGCTTTTGCATCGCTGCGCTGTCGATAATGGAACGCAGCCGCACTTCTCGCGGGGTTGGCCCTTCTTGCCGTGATGATACGATCGCCATGGGGATGGTCTAGCTGCTTACAATGGCCCATGCCTTGAGACCGCCACGTAGGCAGAGCACACCAACGTTCAAGCGGTGGGGCATACGCAACCCCCAAATAGAGCCCGTCTCAGGTTTCCATTTGCAACAACCCTACACTCGTAAACGGCTCAAATTTTCTGAGGAATTCGAAGCTATTTTATTCTGGTTTAGTCACTTTGACACCAAACGTCGTGCGAGTGCAAACATCTGTGTGTTTTAATGCGTTTATTGTACCGTTCACACAACTGTTTAAATAAAACGTCTTAAAACAGAAAAAAACATGCGCGATCCCATACATTTAAAATAATTGACACACATTAAAGATTACAGCGGATTCCAAGCCAACTTATACGTGTGCGGATGCATCACATTCGGAAGTTATACAGGTAAATACGGGCGAACACAGAACACACAGACAAGACCACGCGGGGCAGACACGGGGGATCGCAGAGCGCAAGTGCAGACACTTGCAGTATCACTGAGAACGCCATCGCTCACACGCAGCGCAACGGAACGACCAAGCCACCGTCCTTCCACTGATGCGCCAGCGCTGCCGGCCGCCGACGCCGTCGTCTGCTGCCGTTGGCGCCGCCTACCGGCTGATGTTGGAGGAGCTGGCGGCCGAACCAGACGAGGTGCGCAGTGCCGTTTTGTCGTCGCCGGCGGCAGCGGCGCGCTGCCGGTAGAGCGGCAACGCTCGCGCCAGCTCGGCGGCCACGTCAGCGCGGCCGAGCTGGCCGAGCGCCTCGTGCAGTCGGCCAAGCGAGACGCCGGCCGCCGCGCACTCGTCCAGCACGCGCGCCGTCCGGCTGACGGCCGGGTTGTCGCCGGCGTCGAGCCGCGCCAGCCGTTCGGTCAGGCCCAGCTGCACAGCCAGCAGGCACCAGTCCTTGCCGAGCGGATCGGCCGGGTCGAGCGCAGCGCAGAGGCGGCGGCGCGCGGCCGCCGGCGCCGCCGCCACCGGCAGCTCGGCCAGCCAGACGAGCGAGTCGAGCAGCGGCTCGGCGCCGAAGCAGACCAGGTCGGCCACCGTATCGGGCGGCAGCTGGCTGTGCGGCCCGTCGCGCAGCAGCGCCGTTGCCAGCTGCTCGGGCGGCTGCACCACAGGCGCGCCGCGGTGCAGCCGCAGACTGGTCGGCGACAGGTAGTGGCGCTCGATCGGCAGGCCCGGGCTCATGTCGGCGAATACCTGGCGGTACGGACGGATCGCGGCGCGGTCAGGATCACCGGCGGCGGCGGGTGACCACCAGAGCTGCCGGCGCGCTCGGAGGGACCGGCCACAGGGGGACCCGAGACCTGCGACGTGTGCAGAGCTCATCCGATATCAGAAGGGGCGGACCAGGTGCAGCCGAGTAACACGACTACCACGGTAAGCACTGTTTACTGCAGAATGACCGCTACGGATGTATCGGAATGTTATTGCAAACTGACATGCAAAGCACACCACGCGACAGCCTGACTATAACATAAAGGTATGTTGTCCGATTGTGACTACTGGCGATGACTTGTGAATGCCTTCTCGTGTGACGCAACGATATGTTTTACGAACGCTGGTCTGACACGCATTGCGGAGATAAGGGGGAATAACATCATTAACAACGACGTCCGACAGGCCGCCGCACCTTCCGTGGGAATACCCAGATTTATCAGCAGTATGTCCCTGCCCAAAATAGCCACCGTCAAAGCGTGTCTGGTGGTGACGCCTGCCGTTGGCTGCACCGCTCGGCGCCGCGCTCGGTGCCGCTCTCCCGTGCGGAATCGCCCGCTCACCTGCTCCAGTGCGTTCAGCAGGTCCTCCATCAGGTAGAAGCAGGCCACGCGGCTGTCACAGGGCCCGCGCACCTTGAGCTCGAGCTCGTGGCCGCCTCGTGACAACGTCAGCAGGCTCTCCAAGCGACCCGTGCAGAACTTGGAGCCCTCCGACCACTGATACAGGTCCACGTCCCTGCTCGGGTACTCCTGGGCGAAGTGCCGCAGCTGGACCTGCGCAGGCGCGGCGCATGTTACGGTCCACCCGAGCACTGCAGATGGGATGAGGCGACACGACTGTCACTGGTCTGGTTCAGCTGAAACTGGGCTTCTGTATGCGTCATTACGAGTCCGTGGAGCCGTGAAGGGAGGCAGGGGGGGGGGGGGAGGGGGGGTAGGGGGGGGGGGGGTGATGCCGGATCACCCCCCTCCCTTTCCGCTGCGAAATCCCGATGCATCGGGGATGCCAGGATAGAGGACCGAGCCTCATCAGGACGAGCGAATGGACGACTTACGTCCCAAACGTCAGACGATAGGTCTTACTAATTCCAGAATCATGACATCTTATACTGGAAACAGCCGACCTCGGTGCGCTGGGAGGTACTTCCCAGACGATTTCACGTCAGTGTTAGTGTATATTGTGAAAATACTTGTGACCGTGAGCACTGGCTTGGGGTGCTGAGCATGACAACATCAAAATTGTGCTGTCATATCAACACAACAACCGCCAACATCCATTCTCCTACTTAGACTCATTCATGCACGCCAGAACCAACACGCTGACTTTTGATAATGGCCAAGATTTGGTTTTAGAGACAGATTCTTATCAGCTGGTTGCAGTAGTGGTTCCAGTGTTCTGGTTGCCAGAACCTGACAGCTGCATAGCTTCATGCAAATGACCTCAGAAACGACCTAATGCACCCGACTGCATCCCGACTGCATCCCACTTCATCCCGACTGCATCCCGACTGCATCCCCACTGCATCCCAACGGTATCTGAGGTAAGAAAGGGTTCACCAGGTGCTGGGTGAGAGCCGAGCTCACCTGTATGCGCGGGAAGAATGAGCCCATCAGGTACTGGGTGGGAGCCGAGCTCACCTGTATGCGCGGGAAGAATGAGCCCATCAGGTGCTGGGTGGGAGCTGAGCTCACCTGTATGCGCGGGAAGAAGGAGCCCATCAGGTACTGGGTGGGAGCTGAGCTCACCTGTATGCGCGGGAAGAAGGAGCCCATCAGGTACTGAGTGAGAGCTGAGCTCACCTGTATGCGCGGGAAAAAGGAGCCCATCAGGTACTGGGCGGGAGCTGAGCTCACCTGTATGCGCGGGAAGAAGGAGTCCATCAGGTACTGGGTGGGAGCTGAGCTCACCTGTATGCGCGGGAAGAAGGAGCCCATCAGGTACTCGGTGCCGGTTGGACTGCGCAGCCGCAGGCCTCCGTAGCAGAGCTCAGGCGCAGCCGGCGGCGGCGGTGGCGGGTCCCACAGGCCGTCCAGTGTCTCCACGAAGTTGTAGCAGGGGAACTCATACTCTATCTCGCCGTCGTTATCACACTGCAACGAGCAGACTCGGCTGGGATGCTGGGTGTGAATTGTGAGAGGGTCCGCCGCCGGCGACTATATCAGCGATAGCAAATATCAGGCTAGTGGTACGCTTGCTGAAGACCTGATTGAAGGAAATTGGTACATGCCAGCATGTTTCAGTCGCTATTTATTTCACCTAAAATTGTAGATGAAACGAAAGTGATGCAGGTAGATAGGTGAATAAATTTATTGCATGGAACTGAACGCAACGAGTAACTAAATGAAAGCGTAACTAACGAGAAAAACGTCATTAATAGTATAGCTCACAGGCACGCCTACCAAATACTACGCAAAGCAATTAACCAAATTATGCTAAGGAGCACCAGTCTACCAAAAGTTAGTCCCCACTACCCATGCGTTAATCAAACGGATTGTGTCTGCCGGACTGGGTTGCACATGCACGCCAGATGGATGGCATTATGGGGAGGTAGCCGCAGCTGAAGCGGGTCCCAGCGGCTGGGCGGGTGGGCAGTCGGCCGCCTGGCCCCCGCCGACTGCCGAAGCACGGCGCTAACCGCCCACCGGCAGCACTGGTGACATCTGACCTGGTGAACCCGTGACCTCTGACCGTCCGACCGCGACATTACGATCGCCTCTTAGCGACCTGGCCAGCTTTGCGACCCTAGAACAACGCCCGGTGGATTGCGTGTGCTCTAACTGCATGTCACCTCCGTGCGTGCCATTGATTTGTGGTTGGTGTTTCGGTGCTCTCCGTGTGAAAGATACACCTTTGATGAACAGGTAGCGTCAGGAGATGTATTACAGCGATGTAGCAAATAAATCGATATAGGGTGCGGAATTTTACAGGCAAACAAATTCACGATTCATCACGCAAATGAAAAAAAATAACGCAATCCGTGCACAAGGCAGCCTACATTTAGCACATGCCACCTCCCACATTGGCCTACATTCGCTTTAAAGACACGCCTTCATCGACATCAGATTCATAATAATCAGAAAGGACAACCAGAAATAAAAATAAAGCATACGAAGCCATTCATACTACACATGCACGTCACATAGCGTGAGTAAGGTGGCAGGGCGGGGTGAATGTGGCGCGGTCGTGTCGACTGTGGCTGGCTGTGTTCATGCTGATGTGGCGGAGCTTTGACAGGGACGCGGGTCGGCAAAGACGCCAGGTATGGAGATGCGCGACGATGGTAGATGGCAGAAATGGCAAGACGGGCAGATATATGCGGCTGCGCAGGGAAGCCTGTTCTGATCTCGACCAACGGAGTCAGCGACAGTGCCGAAGATGTCACTGCACAGAGACGAGGTGATGTATGCGTGGATGTCAAGAGGTAGCCACGTGGGCTGTCAGTGGCGCGGCCAGCCTGGTGGAGGTTACACCTCCACTCACCTGTGTGCACAGTCGCAGGGCATCCAGGACCTGCAGCAGGTCCAGTGTGTCGTACTCGGGCATCGACATCTGGAAGTCGTCCACCGTGTAGCAGCCTGTAAAGCGTAAGCGCATCTAAACACGGCACTGGGCTTCTTCAGCATACGTCAGGCTTGGACACGGCTGCCCGCCCCCACGTGAAGTGCACGAAAAAACAAACCGCAATACCACAAAAGCATCCCGAAGAAGTAGCATCGTGTGATCCAGCGCTGAAAACAAACTTAGATGACTAATAACTCTGGCTGCGATCGTCTGCTCGATCGGTTGCCGCTTCTAAAAAGGCAGGGAAGCCAAGATCACGCAGCTTCGAGAGAG